GACCAGTTTATTCCCTAAGGATCAAAGGGCAGCGCCCTGCACACGGACAGTAGTTGTTTTGTCTTGCTACGCAAGGAGAGCTTGTCTTGTCTCAATATGGTAAAACCACTGTGAGCCAATGGGCAGCGGAATGTATATGTATGAGCATGCAGCCATTGCTGTAGGTACCTGTTAGAGCTACCCCTTTAGAGGTTTATGGTTTCACCCCCCCCCCCGCCCCCCCCCCCGCTCCCCCCTGCCCCCCTCCAGGCAAAGTTCGGAAATAGCGTTGCTTTGGGCAGCACAGCACGCGGCTCCACGACCTAACCTTCTCATAGCATCGGAGATTCAAGCATCGCTATCGCCAGCTAGGGGCTATGTCGAATATCAGGCACAGAACGCGGAGATGCTACAATGGTCACATCAACCTCTTGCTGGCTTCTTGAGACAAGCCCTCTGCCTTACGCTGCTCTGCCCTGCTTTGCCCTGCCCTACAATTAATACAAGTGCGATTCCAACTGTTGTTATTTTCGTACAAGAGCTTCCTGCTGCGCCGGATGGTAGCCAGTCGCCGCATGCGCGAAAAGCCGGGCCGAGGCGGACGCGAAGCGTTTCAAATTATAACTGCAGTCACCTTGCTTATAACCCGGATTACTAAGTGTCATGATCCTTTAAGTAAACCCGAAACCCTAAACCCTATAGATCCCTTTAAAGCGCCCTATATGGTTGATGATATACATCCTGCTTTACCCATAATAAGGAATATACCATAATTCCCATAGTTTCGGGTCCTTAAGGCAATGCAGGATTTATATCATCAGCAGTAGGGCTGCCACTAAGGTCCTTATACAGCTATATTATTAATAGTATCCAGCTGTTACTGAGTGGGGGCAGTACTCAAGATCAAGTCGTTCTCCCCTAAACCCTAAACTCTGGGTCTTAGGGTTTAGAGATTCGGGATTAGGGTTTAGGGATTGGGGTTTAGGGTTTTGGTCTAAGGGACTAGGGTTTTTTAGGTTTTAGGTTCAGGGCTTAAGGTTCTTGAGGTTTAGGGTTTGGGGCTTGGGGTTGCTTGCCAGTATCCTTACCAAGGCTGGCCCCTCGAAGCCTTTGAAACCATCGTAGATGGCTTCCTCTTAGCCTCTTAGGCCCAATGAGGGAAACATATCCTGGTTTCGTACTCGGCTAGTACGATGATAGCAGCGACGGGGATGGCAACGATCAGGACATTGGTGACCCTGATGAGGCTACGTTTGATGATGATGATGATGATGATGAGGACGGTGGTGATGCAAATGATGCAGGTGCTGATGATGATGCTGCTGCTGATGATGATGATAAGTATGATGGCCACGGTTAGTATGGCCATCATGATGATTGTGATGCTCCTGGTGAGCTGACAAACAAAGGGCTTACCAATGACGATGACTCAGACATGGTGCTGGTAGTTTCGATGGTAACGACGCTGATGCCGACATTGACAGGGCGACGAGCGCAACACGCTTAAACCCCGAACCCAAAATCCACAAAAGCTCTCAGCACATAAATCCTCAGCCTGTACAGCCCTAAGCTCTCAACCCTGAACCCTGTAACCCTACATTCTTAACGCCCTGAGCGCCAACCCAAACCTGAATTTCCAATAAAACCCTAAAGCCTAAAGAACTAAAACCCTGCAACGTAAAATCCTAAAGCCCGGCAGCCCAAAGGACTCCAAAACCCTATTAAGACCTAAACCCAACAGCCTAAATCCTAAAACCCTAAAGGTCCCAGGCCCTAAAGCTTTATACCTCTGAGCAGCCTGGGATTTCAGCTGGTCGGCGACATCCTTGGCCTCCTTCCCTTCCCACTCTTCCTTGGCGTTGGCGTCCCCAGAGACTCCGATAACCCTTAATTAAGGAATACCTGGGGCTAGGGTTTGGGGGATTCTAATATCCTTTAGCTAAGGAATATATCTTAAATTATTGTAAGTAGGATCCCTAATATGGGTGGTTGTCAAAATTATGGTCCTTTTCTGGGACCCTAAATATTAGGTGCTGTATGATTATAAGGACCCAAAAAGGACCCTATTTTTGACAACTATCCATATGATTTAAGGTATATTCCTTAAGTGATATTGGAGTCTCTAGCTTCGGGGTTCCGGGTTCAGCGTGAGGGGGTTTCAGGGCTTCGGGACTGATGTGTCGTGTACGGCTGTGGGCTTTGACTCAGGGCTACAGGGAAGGTTTAGGATCAAGGCTCAAGGGGCTTATAGTTGGGATAAGAAGTGCCCTAAGTCCTAAGTAGCGTAATTTTAACCTTACCTAGAACCTTACTAGGTCCTATGTTATGATCTTTGAAGACTGTAGACCCCTTATTGGGAAACCCCGTCCCTTAATCAGGAACATACCGAGGATGCGAAGACTACGGCCCTTAACGACAGGCAAGGCCTCAATGCATCAGGGGAGCACATAATCTAAACCCCAGATGGGGGTTTCCGAAATTAGGGGACCCTTTCTGTTGTACCCTAAATAGTAGGAGCCTTAGCATAAGGACCCCAAAATACGGTACCGCTAATTTTGGGAAACTCCCAGATTGCCCTTCAGCAAACATTAGGGGCTTAAGTTTTTCAGGGCCTCGGTTGTAAAGATATATCCTTTTGGAGACGGGTGTTATACGTAGTCTTGTTGTCATGAGGGCGTAGACGACGGTTTTGGGCATATTATACTTTGCACGAGTAAGTGAGTTATAGAGGGATGACCTTGCTTTTGTGGAGCTTTATTGGGGCCGGAACACAAGTAGAAATAGATTTAAAGTAGATGTGCAAGCACACTGATTGGGGCTACCTTGGTTTACGTACTACATCCCACTTACGGGAGGCTGATTCTTTAATATGGCGGGGTCCTCAACAAAAACCAAGAACTCCTCAACACCTCACTGAAGTGGGATCCCGAACGTACTTAAAGAAACCAGCATATCCCATAACCTGAAGCCCTGAAGCCCTAAACCACTCATCCCCTGAACCGCTTCGATGAAGTCCTTTTGGCGAAAACTCACATGAGGAACCTAGTACAAGTAAACTTCTGGGAAATCCTACAGCACCATTTTAAAAAAGGGACGTGCTAGCTCGCTTCCTCCAAGGACCCTACAACCAAACAAGACTCCACAACACGGTCTTCAGAAGGGGGTGAAAACCAATAGAACAGGGTGCAGAATGCCACGTGGCACTGAATTCAGGCGTGGCCGTCCCGAGGCGCAAGATGAAACCAAAGCTAGAAATGACTGTTTAAAAAAAAGTATTCCACTACTAGCTTCTCTTCTGTATCCTCAACCACGCTCATGTTTAAAGGCTTTTGGCCTACGGGACGGCCTTTGCCTTGCGCGGACGGGGACCGCGCTTCTTAGGCACATAGGCAAAAGGCCTCCATGCACGCCTCAAAAACGAAGTTGCTCTGGCTCGAGCCAACCTCGCCATCTCCGGCCGAGCTCCCGGGCTACCTCGCGTCCGCCCTCGATTGGGGGCTCTACTCCGGCGACCCAGCCCTTGATGAAGGCTTGGATGCCGTGGTACCCAAAGGGCCTCTCCGGGTGTGTCTTTTTGAGACCTGCAGGGCCAGTTATCAATCAGAGACCCCGAAAGGAAGCATCTATTTGAACCATAGCCACACACCCCCAGGAGACTCAGTCTTTGGACACCCAGCTAGCCTAATTAGCGAGATAAGGAAAACCTGACCCTAAGACACCCCCCCCCCCTAAAAAAAAAAAAGAATGCTGTCCAGCGTCCACCCGGGCGGCACCGGACCGTGTACCGCCAGCGCTGTTTGTTGAAGTCACTCCGATGGGTATGGATCGCCTCCCGCACAGGAGACAGCGGGGATGGCTAAATCTTAAAAGCTAGGGCACCGTGAGAACCCAACGCTAGACCCTACTTAACCCCGAAACTTAAAAGGAGGCTGGCCTTTTGGTAGAACTTCCCCGTGGCCTGATCCCTGCAGTCGTAGACCGTGACGTCGATGTGATCGTCCTCTACGTATCTATGTGAACCACAATGCTAAGCTCCCACACTTAGACTACCTCCAAAAGCTACACCTCAATGAGTCCTACCCGAGGCCCTTTTAAAAACCTAAACAATCCTCGTCGATCCACTTCAGCCCGAGCGGATCAACGCTGCAAGCCAGGGTGCCACAGTCGTGGCAAAATACACGGTTGTCCTGCGGCGAGGAAACAATGAACTTAGATCTAGAAGACGTCCACCTCCCCCTAGAAAACCACTCCACGTAGCCCTATCCCTGAAGCTAGTAGAAGAACCTCTCCGAAACTGGAAGCCTCGGCATAGCGTAGATCACAGCTGCCACATTCGAGGCACTCGATTTCGAAGCGGTGCTCGTACGTCATGGCTGGGGAAGAAAGCAAAAGAAGGCGAGGCGCGAGAAGACAGAAAAAGCTGCGGCGGTGCAGGCCTGGAGAATCGCGAAGCACATCGCCGGGCGACGCTACACCGGATGTACTAAGTTTATTTGTGTAAGAACCCATTATCTAAAAAAATCTGTGCAACCCTACAACAAATCCTGTAGACCTGATTGAAACAAGTCTAAAACCCCCCGAACCTTGAAAGATACTATAGGGCTCTTAATAATTAGAATGCCGTTTGGGGAATATTGTGCTATACTTCCAAAAAGGAGCCCTCCAAAATAGTATAGATAATTATTCAGGCCCCTTTGTGTTGATTTGTTTTCTTTTGGTATGGCCCTATTCTGGCTATCAAGCCCCCGAAAATTAATGTGCCGAGGGTCCGACTTAGAACCCAATATCTGAAACATTATGTACAACCCTACAACAAATCCTGTAGACCATACTTGGAGGGTCGGGGGACTTAGTAAGTAGGTAGTAAGTAGACTTAGAAGTACCCTAGAGGGGACCCTAATTGGGGTTATGGTACTTATAAGTCCCTAAAATAACCAGTTACTAAGTCCCCCGACCCTCCAAGTATGGAAACAAGACTGAACCCTAATCCCCAAACCACGAAAGATAATGTGTCGAGGGTCCCACACCTTCAGTGCGGCGTCCATTGCCTCGCCGGTGCGAGTGGCGAGCTGATCCTGCACGGAGGCGTTGCTTGAGGTTTGGGGTTCTTTTAAGGGAGTCCTTCAAAGGGATGCACAGGGGTTTAGGGTTGAGGGTTCAAAGGGGATCTGCAGTAGTTTAGGGTTGAGGTTGAGGGTGTGGGGATCAGGGTGTTGAGTTTGGAGTTTAGAGTTTAAGCTTTTCAGTGAGGATTGTGGTCCATCTCTTGTTACGTACAATTTAGAGCTTCAGGGCGCTGATTAGGAGTGGGCTTTAACATGTACAGCAGGGCTACTGCTGCACGTTTTCGCTCGCGGCAATGTTGTTCCGACCCTTCTTGAGTCCCGTGATGCTTCCGGCCGTTAGCTGGGAACCAGTGGAGGTAGCTCTGCTGCTCATGTAGAAGCCCGAATAACTACCTCAACACTGTTCCTTAGGGTTCCGGAATACACTTATACTGCATTAATTCTTAAGTCCCCTATCTTGCGAATGCGCACATATCGTACCGCGAAGCCTTGTTCAAAGTCTTTGGTCGTGTCTAGCAATTGAGTCTGGCAATAGGACAATTCAACAGATTGATACTGGTTGCTATCATCATTTCCATCTCTCATTTCTGGATGTTTCGTCTCTGACAGGCAGGTTCTGCAAACCTGTAGGTGATTCTTCCCTATTTCCTTGGGAGACTAGGATTCTTGAGGGGTGTGGCGGTGTAGGGTTGTGTCGGCTTCGTCCCCGAATCGTTCAGGTAGCCGAAACACCTAAACCTAAACCCCTCTAAGAGGGGGTTGATCAAGTTATGGGCCCCTTTCGGTCTCTTGAACTATAAGGAACCATAAGGAATGTACTGCAATACAGACCCCAAAAGGGCCCAAAATATTGATCAACCCCAAGACTCTTCTGCACCGTTGCCCATCCCTGAGCAACCCTTTGGCCTGCAGTTTCTCCAGGCCTGCACCACTCAGCGCATCGGCGAGATTGAGCAGCGTGCCTGCCCGGTTAAATGCTTAAAGGCATTTCTCCCAGCCAGGGGTTCTACAATAATTAGGTACTCGGTTTTAGGATGGTAGTTATGTAGGTTACTATGTTGGAGAGTATATGATCTTTAGGTACTTCGACCTCTAGTGTTAGGGGTTCCTTGAAGGGGTTCCTTGAGGGGTTAGTGTAAGGGTTCTCATACATGCTCCTGAAAGGGTTTCCTCAAGTGTTCCTTTAAGGCTAAGCTCGAAAGCCGCCAAAAAAAGCTCTCAACCCTCTCGGGTGTGGGTCGGTCAGTCTACTCGTGTTGGGGGTTTCGGGCAGGATGGCGAACGCAAGTATAGTACAACACAAATCGAAACCTGAGTGCTGTAGCCAAACAAGAAAGAACAACACCTGTAATTCTTCAGTATGGTACGCCCTGGCGGCGTGTATTCTCGAGTAATAGATTTGGACGGGTTTCGGATTGCAGACACTGATTTCCTATACTACATTCTCGTAGGCAGGTATTTCTGAGATGGTGTAAAAAGTCTTTATCTTGTGACCTGTATGCTTTGTCTCCAGTATGGTAGTTCTTGTTGTTCTATTCGGACCCCCGGAAACCACTACAGCCCCAAACCCATAACAGTCTTCAGCCGCCCCAGACCCCAAACAAAACCCTACACCCCGAAGCCCACACCCTGAATCCTGAGCCCGAAATCCTTAACCCTGACTCCTCAAGCCTAGAGCCTAAATCCTCAATGCTCAACCCTAAATCCTCAACCCCTGAACCCTACACCCTGAACCCTAAATCCTCAACCCTGAACCCTACACTTTAAACCCTAAATCCTCATTCCTGTACCCTAAAAACCCTAGATCTTTGAAACTCCCTATGCAAGCAAAGGTAGGAACAAAATATAGCACAAACGAAACCCTAGATCCCCCCAGATGTCCTGTCCTGAATGCAGCCGGACGAGATCCGTGGACGTCTCCACGAAGCGCGCCACGATCGGGAGGATCCTCGGGTTTTCTGGGCTTTTGAAGCTGTCGTTTAGGTCTTTAGGGATGTCGGGTTTAGGGTTTTAGGGTTTAGGGTTCAGGGTTTTAGGGTTTAGGGTTTTAGGGTTTATAGTAACCCTTATAGACCCCTTATAGTAACCCTTGTAGTAATACCCAGGGGCTGAGTCCCGGCCCCTAGCCCAAAAATGGTAAGGTTTATATAAGCCGCGCAAGGTCACAGGTTACCTATACTCAGCCCCAAAGATAGGTTTCATGCACATTTTAATTTAAGCTGTCATAGTCTTTTGCAGCCCTCTAGAGCGTGGTTTAGGATTGAGGGACTAGGGCTCTATTGGCAGATTTCATGGTCTTCTTCTGGGTTTGGGTTGTCTCGGGTGGCATGGAATTCTTTTACCCACCGAGCCCAAACGCAGTTCTCCACGGAATATGCTTGAACTCACAGAAAGGAACCCTCGATGATCTAAGATATTCGAAGATCCATTCCTCACCCTCAACCCAGAGACTCCAATATCCCTTAATTCAGGAATATACCTTAAATCATATCAGGGGTCCTACTCGTGTTTAGGGAATATTCCTTAATTAAGGGATATTGGAGTCTCTGGGAAGCCCCAGGATGTCCCTCCATCTTCCTCCAAGCGTCGTGGCCGTGGGGCAGCGCACGTCCTTCGCGCAAAGCTCGCCTGGCTCAGGGCTTGACGTTTGGGGTTTGCGGCGGTTTACGGTTACTTGGAGGTGCATGGGTAGTTATAAGTGGGGTTATAAGTCCCCTAATATGGGTTATAACTATAGTTACCCTACTTGTAACCCCACTTATATCTCCCCATGAACCTCCAAGTAGGGCTACGAAAGATTGGGGTTTTTCGGCTTCAAGGTTTAGAAAAAAACACCCTCAACCCTAAAACCCGAAGGTCCCTTGGGCCCCTGTAAATAGGCCCCAAAAAAGCACATAAGCAAAAAGAAGGGTAGGGATATCCCATACAAACCCCCTTGTAATGAAGGCCAATAAGGTAGGGAGATCCCAAAGAACCCTATAGACCCCTTTAAAGAACCCTATAGATCCCTTTAAGGAACCCTCCAAGAAAACCAAGTGCCTCGGCCCCAAACCCTATACCCTTATAGAATCCCTATGGATCCCTCTAAAGTGACCCTTAATAGTAGCCCTATTATAGACTCTTACCGTAGGGGGGCAGTACCTAACTTATGCTTCCATGCTTTTTGGGTCCCCAAGTAAACCATGCCTCGGCCTACTAACCAAAGGTACTTAAAGGTTCCTCCAAGTAGACTCTAAACCCTAAACCCTATAGATCACTTTAAAGGCACCCTTAAAGGAACCCTTATAACCCCCCTTTCAACCTTCAAGTGCCTCGGCCCCATGGCCACTGCACGGCCGCGCGCTTTGGCTGCGCCGCTGGGGAGACCACGGCCTGGCGAAGCGCGAGATGCACTTTTCGAGTTGTGTCACAAGTTCACAGAGTTTGATGGATTCTAAGACTACTGTATACATTGATAATGGCTTTATAATGGGTATATAATGGCTATTTCGAGGGGCTTGTGTCTGAAAGGGGGGAAAAGGAGGGACCCCTACCCTATAATGGGCTTTATAATGGGTATATGATAGCTAGCCTTCCATTTAACCTTGGAGTGTCGATAGGGTGCAGGGAGGAGGGCCGTGGGGTCTTGGGGTTTAGGGTTTTAGGGTTGAGGGGTTTAGGGTTCCGGATTTAGGGTTTAGGGTTTAAGGGTTGAGGGTTTAGGGTTCCGGATTTAGGGTTTACGGTGTTAGGGTTGAGGGGTTTAGGGTTCAGGATTTAGGGTTTAGGAATGTTTAGGATTTGGGGTTAAGAGCTTAGCAGCTAAGGCTTCTAGGAAGCCATCTAGGGGTATGGTAATGGTGTTACGGAGCAGTGCGGGGTCCGGCACGATGTTGTATATGAGCACTGATACTGCTTCCGGGTATACTGTTGCAATTTCTACTTGGTACCCTAAACTACCAGCACCACTGTACAACTGCCTAGTATGGATGAGGCAGGCTTGTGACCATCAACAGGAGCAGCTAGACAAGCATTTTTCGATTGGCCCCTCAGAAAGAGCATTTTTGCTTCTGAGTCATTGCTGTATTGTTGTAAGCAAAACCAGCAATCCTAATTTTCGACTACGATGCAGTATGTGGGGTTAATGTCGCAGCAGCGATAACGGTGCTAGCAGCGCATGCACCATCATTACAACGGTGACCGTGGCAATTGTCACCCTGCGCCCTGAAACCAAAACCATAAAATCTTAAAACCATCATCCGGAATCCCTGAAACCCTGAGGCGGGACATGAGGTGTATTGAAGTGTATTGTAGCAGGGCAGAAATACAAATGAAGGGCAGGACATGGGACAAGGGGGGTGTAGAGACAGAGGGAAAGAGAGAGTGGAGAGAAGAGAAGAGGAAGAGAAGGGGACAGACAGAGAGGGAGAGATAAAGAACGAGAACGAGAAAGAGAAAGAGAAGGATGAGATAAACGAAAGATGAAGATACAGCGGGCAATCAGAGGCGAGAGCTAGAGAGAGAGAGAGAGAGAGAGAGAGAGAGAGAGAGAGAGAGAGAGAGAGAGAGAGAGAGAGAGAGAGAGAGAGAGAGAGAGAGACGAGAGAGAGAGCGAGCGAGAGAGAGAGAGAGAGAGAGAGAGAGAGAGCGAGAGAGAGAGCGAGAGAGAGAGCGAGGGAGGGAGGGAGGGAGAGAGAGAGCGAGAGAGAGAGCGAGAGAGAGAGCGAGGGAGGGAGGGAGGGAGGGAGGGAGGGAGGCAGGAGAGAGAGAGGGAGGGAGAGAGAGAGAGAGAGAGAGATAGGGAGTGAGAGGGAGTGAGTGAGTGAGTGAGTGAGTGAGTGAGTGTGTGTGAGAGATAGACAGCGATAGGCCCAGTCAGAGGAGCCCAGATTACCCTTCGCACACGATCTCTTATGCAATTTCGGGCGGGCTGACGGGTCGAGGGAGAACGGCGGGGATTGCAGAGATGCCCAGCCCGAAACCCTAACCCCGATCTCCAAACCCTAAAAATGAACCCGTAGCGTCCTAAACCAGGGTTTAGGGTTTAGGGTTTAGGGCTTCTAAGCCCTAAACCCGAAGCCCTAAGCGTCCTAAATCCTGAATGAGCGGCCTGAACACCGAAACCCCGAGGCCCCTTAGCCCTAAGCCGCGCGAAGCCCAAACCCTGCACCTTCTGGGTTCTCGTTCTTCAGGGATTCAAGTTACGGTACTAAATAAGGAAATCATAGTATTTATCCAATTTAAGGTACTAATAAGGAAATCATAGTATTTAGCCAAATTAAGATACTAATAAGGAAACCATAGTATTTATCCAGTTTGAGGTACTAATAAGGAAATCAGGGTATTCACTATATTTTCCCATTATGGTAAGTTAAGTTAAATTCCTGAACTAGAACCCTGCCTTGCAGATGCCAGGACCCATGGGTGTCTCGACGGAGAGGCCGGGCACGGCGGCGAGCACCTGATGGAGTTTAGGGTTTAGGGGTTTAGGGTTTAGTAGGGTTCCTTTCAGGGCTCCTTCAAGGGATCCTTTAGGGTTTAGGGTTTAGGGGTTCAGGGGTTTAGGGTTTAGGGTTCAGTAAGGATAGATTCCTGAAGGGTCCGGCGACTCTTCTCAATCAAATATCAAAGGGGAATAGGAGGGACCCTTAATGGGGACCCCTACCCTACAATGGGCTAGATCATGGGTATATAATAGCTATATTGAGGGTATATACCTAGGGGTCCTTATTCACGGTCCCTCCTTTTACCCTAGGAAAATACCCAATCAACATCGATGAGGTTCTCGAACTTCGGACATTTGGAGTTTTGCATTATCTGGTTGCTCAAATCTTCCAATGTCAGTTAAACAGGGACTGTACCTTCAAATCTAGTAGGATATCGGATACCCAATATGATAAAAGGTACATGGGAGTTTCTGAAAATAGGGGACCCTAATATAGTACCCTTAATAGTAGGATCCTTATTACAAGGACCCCCCAAATAAGGTACTCCGAATTTTCGGAAACTCCCATATTCCTTAATGAAGAGATCTTGGAAGGTCGGGGTGCTGGGGCACAAAGGACTCTCAAAAAGAAGGAGCTTAGGGGTTCGAGGATTCAAGTGTTAAAGGGGAAAAGGAGGGACCCTTAATGGGGAATTCTGGGACCCTATAATGGGCTATATAATGGGTATACAATAGCTATATTAGGGGTATATACCTAGGGGTCCTTATTAAGGGTCCCTCCTTTTACCCTTGGATTAAGGGAACCCTGCACGGAACTTTTCAAGGAGCCCTTAAAAGGAGCCCTTCAAGGAGCCCTTCACAGGAGCCCTTTACAGGAAGCTTCATAAGGATTAACCCTAACCCAAGCCGTTAAGCTAGACCCGAGTATTTAGGGCTCATATGGGTTTAAGGGAGTTCCGCGGGTGGCCTGGGGCTCTGAGCTTCAAAGGGTGCCGAGAGTAGGGATTGCTCAAACGCTAGTCCGAAAACTTTGAACCCGATCCCTGACTCCGAGAACATCCGGAACAAGGCTGTCAAATGTGGGTGATACCCGACCATGAACACCCAACCTAACCAACAAGGCTAAGCGAAACACTAAACCTTAACCTCCAAGCCCCATAGGCCGTGAAGCCTAAATCCGCAAGCCCTAAAGCTTAGCCCTCAACCCAACACTCCTAGACCCCTCAAGCCCAAAACCCTGACCCCAAAATCACCCTAGAACCCTCAGTTGGAGGATCATGGTACTTAGTAAGTAGGGCTATAAGTACCTTAATTAAGGCTATATGTAATTATAACCGCAGTTACCGCACTTATAACCCCAATCACTAAGTCCCATGATCCTTTAAGTAGAGGAGCCTTTACTTCGTAAGGAACGTCCCCCCCCCCCCACCAACCTAAAAATCCGCCCGCAAAACCCTTGTAGGAGCCCTTAGAGCCTTCGAGAAACCTTTACTTTCTACGTCACGGGGTGGTTTTAAGGGTTCCTTTAAGGGGATCTATAAGGAATATAGGGTTTAGGGCCTGCTTGGAGGTTCATGGGTAGTCATAAGTGGGCTTATAAGTCCCCTAATATGGGTAAAAAACTATAGTTACTTTACTCATAACCCCAGTTATGACTCCCCATGAACCTCCAAGTAGGCCCTAAACCCTCTATAGAATCCCTATCCCTGTAGATCCCTTTAAAGGGACCCTTCAAGGAACCCCTTACAATACAGCCCTAAACCCTAAACCCTAAACGGACCCTTACAGGAACCCTTATAGAATCCTTATAGATCCCTTTAAAGGGACCCTTAAAGGAACCCCTTACAACACAGGAGCCGTTCTCTGGGATACCCAGTAACCTAAGAATAAAAAGGCCTCTCTTTTTGGTATTGGGTAACTTTATAAGGAACCTAGGACTACAAAAAGGGAATAAGGGTACTACTGGGCATCCTGGCCCCTAGTTTTCGGAAACCCTAAACCCTTTATAGAACCCTTATAGATCCCTTTAAGGAACTTTTTTAGATCCCTTTAAAGGTACCCCTCCTAGTTGTAACCCGCCTCCTTCAGTGCATCTCGGCCCAGGTAAGCCCGGTTCCAGCCGCGGCTCGGGGGTCCCCAAAGCTGGACCTGCGCTGCGGGTTTACTTAAAGGTTCATGGGACTTAGTAACTAGGCTTAAACTTAGGGTAACTGTACTTATAGCTACTTATAACCCCAATTAAGGTACTTATAACCTGACTTACTAAGTCCACTAAGTCCCATGATCCTCCAAGTAGGGTTCCGGGTCCAAAGGCTGGGCGTTTTAGGGTTTAGGGCTTACAGTAAACTCCATAAAGTTGGAAACCGGATTAAGGCCAAATAGTGCTGGGATTCCCTATACATTAGTCTTATGGATTCAGGCTATTGGGTTTCCAACTTTGAGGCTTCTACTGTAGAGGTTTTATAGGGGTTTTAGTGTTTAGGGTTTAGCGTCTATGGTTTCAGGGTCTTTATAGGGCTTTACTTTAGATGGGGGCCCACTGATCAGTCTGGGACAAGCTTCTACATCTTGGATACGGGCTTTAGGGTTTAGGGTCAGAGGCATAGGGCTTTGGCTTTAGGGGTTGAAAGTTTTAGGATTTAAGGGTTTCGGGTTTTAGGCTTTGGGGTTTGCGGTTTTGGGGTAAGGAGTTAAGGGGTCAAGGATACTTTCATGGTTTGAGGGCTTAGTTTTTTAGGGTTCAGGGGTTTTGGGCTTTGGGTTCAGTTAAGGGGGCTTGGGTTTAGGATCGCTTGGAGGTAAAAAGGGCTTGGCTCGGCTCAGCACACGGTGCTAAGGCGATCGCTGGGACTAAACTATCGTGCTGTCTGCATAAACTATTTGGGAAACTAGGTGTCGGCTAGTCACGTCGAGAACTGTGCAGTTGAAGACTGATTCGATGGGGCAGACCAAACTGCATGTCTGGTATCTTCCTGTGCAGCGCAACTTCCTCATGACGCACTGACGAAAAGTCGGTCGAAGATGCAACAATTGTTCCGTCAGACTACAAAATACAACTGGAACCGCGCCAAAGCAATGCACATCTTGAATCCCCCATAGAAGCATGCACGGTGGTCGATTCTTCGCCGCGCCTCGTGGATATCATCTTCTGGACGGTAGCGCAGTAGCACTCCTTGCAACAACAACAACAACAACAACGGGTCAAAGCACAAGTTCACACCCAGTCTCTGACAGTGGCACGTACGACGCAGCTGTGCACTGCACGCGCCGGACATGCAAAAGTTGCTGTCGGTTCGAGATTTGAGTCTCGAACTCACTGCCTGCAAGTATAACGTGGCGAGCCAGAAAAACCTCGATGAACCTATTATTCATGCACCCTCTGTAAACCCTGTATGCGTGTTCCCAGCTGCCGAAGACGAAAATGATTCCGTAGACCAATAGTAAGCGCTAGTCATGGACATGTAGCAGCAGCCCTAAACCCTAAACGGGACGTGGCGCAAACCCAACGAATCCGAAGAGCCATGAAGGCCAGACGCGGACTTTGGGATAGACTGACGGGAGTAGCTCTCTACATTGGGGTCCCTTTTTGGGGTCCCCTATATATTACGACACTGTTATAACAAGCATCCAAAAAGGGACCCTAAATTAGAGAACTACCCATGTGCATGCGGGGTTTAGGGTTTCGGGGTTAGGATGCAACTCTTGGCATGCTGCCCTTAGATTTTAGGGTTTAGGGGTCCCAATATCGAAATACTTGGCCTACTTGATAAGGTACCATGCAACGCATCGAAGCCCTGCTTTCTTAATACGAGTTAAACGACGTCACAAAACCGCGAATCACAATGGGTCTGCGTAACTAGTGAACCCTAAACCCTTACCCTGAAAGTTGAACCCCAAATTGCCCTTATCATCCGGGAATGATAAGAGCGCTCCTGGCCCAAAGGAAGTAGCGACACAGCTTCCCAACGGACCTTCATAGTGTGCGAGGCTTCATGTAAGGGTTCTGCTCAAGATTTAGGAACTCAGACAGAGCCCAATACTCCATGGTTGTTGATCTGTTCTGAAAGTGTTTAGGGGGTTGAAGTTGGGTACTGCCCCCATACAGTAACTATATAAATATATATATATATATATATATATATATAGGGCTACTATTCAGGTCCTAAATTATCTATATTATGAATACTATCTATCTGCTACTGAGTGGGGGCAGTACCCAAGGTTGAAGGATCATGCGTATGATTTCGGGCACATCCCCTGGTTGAAGGAGTCGGAGGTGTTGAGGGTTTCCGATGATATCGGGGCCTTAATAATTGGAATAGGGCTTTAGGGCCAATTAATTATACTATAACTATATGAAGGAACCTTTAATAATAACAATAATAATAAGGAGCGCCAGAATAGTATAGGTAATCATTAAGGTCCCTATATTACAAGCGTTTCACTTTACGTATTCAGGCTCAGGTGCAGGGTGCCCGTGGGCTGGGCTCTTTGTTTCTTGGCGGCTGCTTGTACTCTGAGCTGCCATGGGAATCCAAAACCACGATGCCAGGAGTGTATATGCACATCCCATTTCTGATGACTTCTGACCTGGCAGTGGCAGTGGCGGAAGCAGTAGCAGTAAGCGTTAGCAGTGGCAATGGCAGTAGCAGTGGCACTAGCAGCGGTGGCAGCAGTAGTAGCAGTAGTAGCAGTCGTCGTCGTCGTCGTAAGTGGTAGAGTGGTAGAGTGGTAGAGGAGAGTGCAAGTGAGCCCAGTCGCAGAAAGAGCTTCGCAGCACATCTTTACGGCGCAGCGCGCAGCGCACGCGCGCGCCATGGCCCAGGCGCCAGTCGAGAGCGACCTTGTGGCTTCGCTTAGTGGGAACTTAGAAGGGCTTTCGAGGTTTATAGCAGGCTTTTTACGGGTTTTGCTATTTGGGTTCTGGGGTTTAGGGCTCAAGGTTGAGGAGTTTAGGGTTTTATGGCAGTCTGAAT